ATTCTCAGGTGAATTTGATCCAAATGACACAAAACCTATCTTGACACTTTTGTGTGTGTGTGTGTGTGTGTGTGTGTGTGTGTGTGTGTGTGTGTGTGTGTGTGTGTACGTCTGTGAAGTTGGATGAGAATCCAATAGTAAATATTGAAAACATTTTGGAAAATATTGACTTTGACATGGTCTGAGAAATATCTAATTTTATGAGAAACAGAAGATCTTTTTGCAATCTGCAAAATATATTTGCGAAAGAAAATATAATTCCCATTAAACCTTAGACGTTTGATTTTGATTTGAACTGTATTGTTCTAGAAGCTCAATAATTTCAACTGTTTTTTTTTTTCTTTTTTTTTTAATTCCTGAAATGGTGAATGTATCCCACACCGCTCCGGTAAATATTCGACAGGAAATTTATGATAAGATAGTGAGCAGGGTTTAGATCTTTCTCATAAATATTAGGGTGAAGTGAATATAGTCTCAACAAGATTTTGAATTCGGATCTCGAATACTGTTTTGTCACCTATTATCATTAAATGTATACTTACAATCAGAAAGAAACAGATGAAATTTCTGGTGCGCATAACGAGGAAGAAAAGCCCTGGGAATTTAACACTCACAAGATATATTGAAGACAAGAGAAGCAGGAGAGTGACAGCGTGGTCAGTGCTCAACGATTTGGTAAGGACGTATGAGAGAACAGAGACAAAGAAGGTTCGTAAAGGGCGTGGAGGGCTATGATCACCCTATATCCTGAAATGAATTTCTACATAAAAGAAGAAGATTCATGATGTATATCTATCGTAGGATAAGTTGTAATAATTGTCAGATAAAACAATCATAACATTTTATAACTTTCGAATCATGACATCTGACGACAAAGGAAAAGAGTCGTGTTCTTTTGTTCGACGTAAATAAAACACAAAACGTTCACTGTTTACAATTATCTAAACGACTAAAACCTTTAAATGAAATAACATAAAACACCCCAAAGAAAAGGAAATCGAAAGAAGAAATATAATCGACGGGATGGGATTGCAGTAACTTGTAAACGAAAAATATAATTTGGAAACGCCTTTTCTCTTTTTCGCTATTCTCGTATCATTTGACATTTGGTTCTCAAAAAGCGTGATAATTATCCTATGTTACTTTGGAGACACGAGACCAGGCTGTGGGACTCCAGCGTGACTTTGATACACTTTCAAAATCAATCTTTTTCACTTAAAAAAAAGAAATTTCGACTGGCGATGCATGGGGAGTTTGTTGGTGAATAAAAATGTTTGACATTTTTAAAAAGATTTTCTTGTTTCAAAAAATCTAATTGAGAATAAATTGTTTGAAGGGAAAATTATTTGATAATAATGAAAGACGGAACAAGAAAAAGAAAAGTTTGGAATTCTATGGTTTTATTAGAAATAAAAGATTGGCGCCGAAACGGGAATCTAAAATTGTGTCATTAGATTTAAGAATTTTGATTATTAGATTTTATTGTCTTTATTCGATGGGCGCAGAAGATCCTATTGAAATATACACTGATATACGTAAATACACAAACAAAGTTACTGACATTGATCCAAGCACTAAGCTACTTTGACAAACGAAAGATATCTTAAGAGATTTTGATAGAAACAGTGAGTCTTAGATACACAACGAGAGATAGACTGACATTTTCAGATAATTTGGGACACTTCGATGCACACATTGATATTGATAATTACAGAGGGACACGCTGAAATTTGTTGGAATAATGATACAAAAAAGATCAATCTCAGATCAATTGTAAGATCCAAAATTCATTTTGCTATTCTGTAGAGGTTTCGAATTTTTTATTAACACTTTGTTAGTAATTCATAATTCTGAATCAGTACCATTTTACTTGAAGAGAAAAAACGTAACTGAATCACTTCATGACAAGACGTTGTTTAAAACATGTACGTTTCAGGAATGAGGTTCAGGTTACATCTAAAGATACCAGCAGCGCTGATTAGCAGAATCCAGGCAATAGATGAATCTACTTCAAACTATAACAGTTTTTTTTTATTTCAACTAATACACGACAGAAACTGTTGTGTATTATTTTACTACCCAGTCAGTTGAAATTCTTTACTTTTAATTTGGGATGCCGCTTTTGTTTACTACCATAAATTTTCTTCTTAATGGGTTATCCTCTTGTTTCTCTATTAAATTTGCCATCAACATGTTGTATTTGTAGCGTACTTACTACGGTTATGTCCATCCATACATATTTTATTTCTCTTTTAAGCATCTCGCTGTAGATATGAAACACATTTTTGAAACACGTCATTGTTACACTCCTCTTTCAATTTGGATCGTTCTCTGTCCGCATTTGTTACCAATTTTTCTAAGATTTCAAAATTTTCTTTGCATAGTGCTATAAGTATTTTTCTTGACAATCTATTAATCACGGGTCATTGCGCTTTTATATTATTCATTTTAACAACAATATCGCCATGAATAAAGCATTTCTTTTTTCAAGGCCTATGTTTGCTGAGCTCGGTTTTATCATTCTCCGAACTTTATTTATTAGTATTGAAATTATTAATTTTGTTATGTATCATATCAGGGTGAATGAATAATGAATGTTGCATTCACTGCATCTCATTGGATATTCGCTTTTTTTGTCGTGTCCATTTCATTTATTACTTCGACAACTTCATCAATTATAATTTTTTTGTTAAAGCCCTCAACCTGTCTATGTCAACCTTATCGGTTCGTGTTGATTTTGCCTGTTTTTCATCTTCACCATTGACGCTCTTACATAAGACGTACCTGGTTCTTTTAAGCACCAGTTCAATATTCATTCTATCGTTGCAATTAACTTTTATTCCATAGTGATCGTTCATTTTTCACTTTATTTGAATCCTAATGACTAGTTTTTCTATGTCGCTCATAAAGCCGCTTGTTTAAGAGAGTTTTTTTAAGACATGGTTTCTTTGGCTATGAAAATTGACCTTCTTACATCTTGTTGTTATTTTGGACTTTATAAACCTGGTGAAGAACTTTTTTGTTTGTTTGGTTGAAATTTTTGTTCATTTCCACTGTGTCTTTTAGTTTTTTTTTATTTATTTATTCCTATTTCCTATTCATCTCTTTCTCATCTGCCAATCTACACTTGTCCCTGATTAGTTTGTTTAACCTCATTTATGATTGGTTTGTTTAACTTTATCACTGATACGTTTGTTTAATCTTATTTCTGATTGGTTTGTTTAACCTTATACACCATTTCTTTACATTATCTGTTGTCTCTCCTTCAAAGGATGGGGGATTTCATTTTTTTCACCTAGTTCTTTTTCTCTTCTCTTCCTCAGGATGACTTCTTTTGTGAATGTAACAAGTGTTTCTTTTAAGGCATTCCATTTTGAATCACCAACATGTTCCAATTCTTTGTACTTGTTCTTAACTACGAGTGCAAATAGAGTTACTGTGCAATTCTCATATTACTGTTCGGGCATTGTGTTGAGTTTATTTTTCATAATCTTACCTTGTCATAAAATGTTTTCTTTTAATTACACTAATCTAAGGGTGAACTAGGATAAATATAATTTATTACTTTTTTCAGTAAATGTGTTTAAAAAGTAACTTCTGTGCTTTTTCAGCTAGTATATCTAATGTAGTTTTTCTGCTTTCCTTCACTCCACAAAGTTGAAAGAAGGCACAAAAGCCACGACAATACCCACCATCAGTATCTGGACATAAAATAGCGAATTAAAATTGTTGTTGGTCAATTAATCAGCTTAGTTCTTGGTGTCTCTTTCTGGCATTTTACCATATTCCCAAATATCATGGATGTTCTTCCACCCAAGTGCTAGTGATTATTTTAGTCATTTAATGTTCACAGTTGCTAAAAGAAATGATAGCCCAATTTTAACCCAAACAAAAGATTTCCTTTCTCACTTTGACGGATGACCTTAGCACACTTTATTATATACTTTAACAAATACTCAAGGCATCAATATCTGCTAGTCATCATTTCTTTCCTATTCTTTTTCATCAATTATTTCCTTGCATTTCAAACGGAAAACTCCCGACTGAAAATTCACTTGTTCATTTGAAAGGTTTCTTAAAATGTTGTCGAAATGTTTCGATAAATGGAGACAAAGCGGAACGAGTAATGTAAATGACTGGCAGTAAATTTATGGATAGCGTCTGAATGTTTCGTATCAGATGTGCCTTCCAATTAGACATATATTTAATGAATCTTGTTCCATTAATTAAGTATATCAGTCGATGTTGTGACGCAGAGGAAAATTGTTCGGGAAACTATGTCAAATACAATCAGACTGAACAAATTTGGTGTGGAGCATATTACGAAGAAATAAAAGATCAACGACAAATTACCTCCCCTTTTGTATGTACGCATCTTAGTAACTTAGAAGTCAGAGAAATTGAAGGGTTCATTTTTCGTACATTTTTGTTCACGATGATATGAATAAATAAATATTTTAATGAAACATTTAAATACTTAAGCTTCGCATTTTAAAGTCATGAACCTAACTTGATTTCTCACAAAATATTGAAAAGTGGTTTTGCCTTTTATTTCCATTATTTATGCACAGAATAATTTCAACGAAGTCAGTTATGTGCCATGCGTAATACACGCTTGGGCGATCATGTATCTTTCGATACATAACTGACAAGGCAGATTTTTTCTCGCAGTAGGTTGCCATTTCTTTCTGCGGTAGATTAGTTGCCGTCCAACCCGGTCTTACCTGCTATTTACCCATAGACCAACCCGGTCTGTCCTGCTATTTAGCCATAACCGGGGGGGGGGAGAAGAGGAATCATAACTTTCCCAAGGGTATTAGCACGTAAGTGAATATAATGGATTTGACTAGAATTCAAACTCGGCTCTCCGATTCCTCCTGTCCGAGACGCTATTCACTACTCCACAGTAATTCAACAAAGTACTTTTCTATATGAGCAATTTTAGAAATGTTTACACTTATTCGTAACATTTAAAAAATGAAGTGGTGGTAATTTTCTAGGGCTTATTCTCTCTTTCATTAAATCGCTCTCTCTCTCTCTCTCTCTCTCTCTCTCTCTCTCTCTGTGCACCGTGTCTGTTCTGGACATAGGCGACTATGTGTGACACCATGTTAGAAACGTAGAGGAAGGTGTGATTATATTTCGATCGCAAATGTTTTTGTTTCATGGCCATCGGATATTTGTTTTTTAAATCGAATTCACCCCATATAAGGCAGTAAAGTCACTAAAACACAAGGAATTATTTCCGGGTGCTATTCAATATTAATATTTATGCCTGGGATATTTCTAGTCTGAAGACAGACTGTCATTGCATAGTTCTGTTGGCACATTTGTATAGCCGGCCATTTGTAGATAGGTGAGAATTTTGTAGGGAGCTTATTGATGTGATCTAAAATATCAGAAGTTGTCCCAAGTTTCATCTGCCTACCCGCAGGTGAAGCCCTGAATATATAACAATACATACAACAATGGAAACTGTGTTCGTGTTCTCATTTCTCGACGCGGCGTTTGTTTTTCATCTTCCTTATTTGTGAATGTGCATCAGGCCCCTTCCCAGCTTTCAGTGTACACCGACGTAAAAGGGAATGCGGACGCAAAGTGGCATATTCATTGGCCAGTCGCTGGAAACTTTGGCAATGTTCACGTTATATGTTTAGACATAGTTCTTCCCAGCTTCTTGGTTTTTGATGCGTTTTCTTTATGATCCTGATTTGTTTTAGTGATATTCGTTACACCATCAGTTTGTTTAAATCTGTTAAATAGATAATTTACTGCTTTTCTTTCCACTTTAAGGTGAGTGGTAAATTCTCCAAACCTCTTTAAAGAAGACAAAACAGAATAAGAAGAAATGAGAAACAGAAAGAAAATACAACCGCCCCCACCAAAAAAAAACAGAGACTGTAATGGCAAATACAAAATAGATTTCCTCTTTTCCTTCCTTCTCTATCCTACAACCTGTAAATACAGTTGTCGTGACGTAAGAATGTAGCTAAGCAAAAACTATAAAGAGCATGAATAAAGGATTACATCAAAATAAACTAATCTAGAGATAAGATTAAGAATTATTAACTCTATGACCTTACAATAAAAAGAAGTCACACCTAACGCAAAGCTCATTTTGCCTCTTTTCTCTTTTAGCCAGTTAGTCGGTCAGAGATTCGTATAAATTGCTTCAGGACATATCCTAGTTTTACCATGAGGAGCTAGGCGGCACGTGTATCAGTGTAATGAACTAAGCTTCCATATTCACTTTTCGGGAGATGCAAATATCTAATTTCATCTTGATTCCATGTATAGAGGTCTGAAATAAATATATTATCCTTATATTTCGAATAGGTTTGTTCGTTATTGCCGACTCCCTACTTCAGGTTCTAACAACAGTATTCAAACACTGTTGAGAGAGACCATTATGCCTATAAGCAGAACCGGCCCCTGCGATTAATAAAACTTTGTATATGGATGTCTTGCTTTGATACATTCTACTATGGAGGTCTTCCGTTGGTGGAAGACCTCCATAGCCGCCCTACCAAACTTTCTACGGTTATCGCTTTCTGATTGTTATGAACAGTTTGTAGTTTATCTTCTCTATATTTGTCGGTAGAACCACAACATACCAGATTCTAGTTTTCATGTGTAACATATTTCGCTTCAGTAAAGGAACGTGCACCATTAAATCTGTTTTATGTTGACAATCTCGATAAGTCTTCGATCGGTTCCTTTACTGCCGACTAGGCCTTCAGTCTTATTACAATTAATTGTTAGTTTTTTCTTCTTGATCTCCTCGACTAGCAGATCTGATATTTCTTTCATCCAGTTGTCCGTCTTAATTCTCGTTCACCAGCGTGTTTCTTTGATATTGTATGATAGCTGTATGGTCCATCTTTGAAAACTCATTAAACAATTTGAACAGAACCAGTTTTCGCTTTGAGATATCAGTAAGTTCCGTTTCACTTTTCAGATTTCCACTGCGCAAAATCATTTTATTCTCCTCCTCCTTGAACTTATTATTATTATTATTATTATTATATTATCATCCTGCCTAACAAGTATGTGGGAAGATCCAAAGCAGGTAGTGGGGTTTTGTTATGACTACATTTCATAATCTGTTTTGCTAAGTAGCATAACCTCATTATATTTACATGGACAAAGTTCTTTCTAATGTGGGCTGTACTTATCAAGACAATTTTTTGTATTTTTCTTAAGCTGGGATTTTCTAGGGAATTTTTAAATGTGTTGTTGTGTTCCTTTTTTATCATTCCAAGCGCACCTACTAGAACTGGTGTTATTTCAAATTCCTTGGTTCCTATGTTACAGTCCGCTGGGCAAGCCATATCAATTAATAGGCAAGTTTCTTGTTTTGACTTTTTGACAATTATGTCCGACCTATCTGCTTGAATCTTCCTGCCTGTAAAGATGGCGTAATCCCATAGAATTGTGATACCTTCTATTTCTGTAACCGGTGCTGGGTAATGTTCATATCAATATTTGTTAACATCTTTTCCAAAGTGTTTGAACATTGTAAGTATTGCCCCATTCTATTGTGACGATTTTTATATTCATTTGGCGCAAGTACAGAACATCCTGAGATTAGATGGTCTATGGTTTCCTGATATTTGTCACAGAACCTGCATTTTGGATCCACAATATTATGTATATTTACCTGAAAGTTTCCACTGAAAAGAATCCTGGTTTTGCGCTACAAAAATAAAGTCTTTCAGTTCTGCCTTTAATCGAAATGTTTGTAACAATCGATGAATGTTGACGTTATTAACATTGATTTTATTAGTAAGCCCGTGATATTGACCATACAGAAGTTTGTCTTTGTCAGCGTTTGGTTCATCTGAGAAAGAACTGGCATTCTTTTGAATTTTATTTTTGTTTTCTACAGAATCTACTAAAAGTAAATCTCGTTTGTATTTACAACCTTCTTTCATGATTAACTATTTTTCTTTCTGTTTTTGTGTTCATTATTATTATAATTACTATTATTATTATTATTATTATTATTATTATTTTCTTTTCTTTGATTTCTGGCGTTTACACATTTCTTTCCGGGTCCCGCCCAGGGACCTAAGTTTAGAAATGGCATCATGACACTTTCCACTGACAAAAAATAAAAAAAAAATACATAGATAAAGCCCTTCGTAAAGTGTGGGCTGTATTTGTCAGAACAATTTTTTGTATCTCCTTTAGGCATGGACTTCCAGGAATCCCTTCAATTAGTCTACTGCAATCTTTTCCAACCAGTCCCAGGGCTCCAACTACAACAGGGATTGTTGATATTCCCATATGCCACATTTTCGAGATTTCTATTTCAAGGTCTTTGTATTTTGACAACTTTTTGAATATCTTCAAAGATACATTGTAGTCAGCAGGGACTGCCATACCAATAAGGAGGCACCGTTTTTGTTTGTGGTCTTTAATAACAATATCTGGGCGGTTGGCCTTGATTGTTCTGTCAGTGTGTATTGTGTAATCCCATAGAATTGTAACAGGTCCTATCTTCGTAACCGGGTCTGGGTGGTGTTCATACCAGTTTCTTTCAGCTTCCTTCCCGTAGAAGTTGCAGATTTTCCAGTGCAGATATTGGCCCACTCTGTCATGTCGGGTTTTATATTCAGTGGGTGCCAACATCGTGCAACTTTCTTCTTTTTGTTTTTTGTTATTGATTTTAGTAGTAGTAGTAATAGTAGTAATATGATAAATAGTAATAATCTGTGGTAATAATGTTTTCTATTAGTTTGCTTAAATAAACAACGGGCAACATATTCACTGACAGCGGATGAGTAGCACCTATAATGTGTAATATTTTAGTCTTCCAGGTGAGGACTTAGTAATAAGTGAATCGTTACTATAGAACGATTTCTGTTGTTTGATATCATTTTGTTATAGTTAGTAATTTTGAACGCTCCCGTAGCTGCTTTAATGAAGATTAATTGTCATTGTGAAGACAACTGGATGCCTAATCCCATGTCTAGTCAAAGGTTTATATTTCTCATATGTGATCGCAATAAACAGATTGGAAAAAAAATCACGAGGGATAAGTAAAACTTGAATTCAAATCATTCGCACTAATTCCTTCTATATTTTTATTTAATGGTCTGAATGCATACGTGTTTAATATATCTTATTTTTATGAGAATTGTTGAAAGATCTCGACAAAAATTCCCCTCACCTGCCAAACTTGAATCTATCTATCTATCTATCTATCTATCTATCTATCTATCTATCTATCTATCTATCTATCAGGTTGTTATCAAATCTACACATCTATCAGATTGTTATCAATAAAATATATCTCTTTCTCTCTCTCTCTTTCTTTCTCTCTCTCTCTATATATATCTATATCTATCTATCTATATATATATATATATATATATATATATATATAGCTAGCAAGCTGTGTTCGTATTGGCCTATTTGTATCCCTCAGGCATAAAGAACTGAGTATTACAATAATGATATGCGAATGGTCACCATAGACGTCACATCTATCTATCTATCTATCTATCTATCTATCTATCTATCTATCTATCTATCTATCTCACTTATTAAATGATGCCAGCTTCTGAGGGACACCCTTTATTTGACGACAGAATATGGTATCTTGAAGTATGTATGAAATATTTAATATTAATAGAAAAAATAATATCAAGTACATAATTTTTGATGCATACAAGCCAGCAATCTGCACGCGATGTAATGGAAACTATTTATAACTACAAAAAAAGTAAAAAACAACCCAAAAGAAACTCGTAGATCTCTTCTTCCCATCCCTCTGCTCTAAAAGTACTCCTCTGAAGTGTTACATTACTTGGCCACTAGACTAGACACGGGTGAGTTGCCAAAGTTGATGCCAAAGCAAAGGCATCTCTTGATATGCTGTTTCAGAGGATGATCTTTCGATTCGCCAAAGCTGACTCGGATAGTTTCAGATATTACGTGGCGGAAGCTTCTTTCACAGCATTCTTCAGATATAGAGCCTCCAGAACAGCCTTTCTCATCTTTGAATTGAACTTTTCTAGCGTGAAAAATTCTATCCCAAACATAACCAACATAAAGCCAAATAACTAGTACTAGTTTATACCATAGATCACCATAACTCCCACTACAATATCTATCAAACATAATGGTGTAGCAGGACACTCTCTATATTCAGAACAGTTCGCAATCATTGAAAGAATTCTAGAAAATGCAAAATGAAGCTATGCATAAGCAGTAGAAGTCAAAGGCGAAAGTAAAATACGTGGATGCCGTGTGTTCTAAAAAAAATCTCTAACAAATATTCTCAAAGCATCAGTGTTTACCTTCACGGTCAGTTAGTCAGTTATGTACCATGCATGATAGACGCTTAGGCGATCATGTATCTTTCGATACATGACTGACGAGGCAGTTTTTTTTCCGGAGTAGGTTGCCATTTCTTTCTGCATTTTCCATCCAAGGCTATAGAACAAAGTCTGTCCTGCTATTTACCCATAACTGGGAGAGAAGAAGAGGATTCATATTAGCACGTAAGTGAAAGTAATGGTTTTAAATTCAAAGTTGTTCTTGTCCTAGACCAGTTGTCATCCAAGGCTATAGAACAAAGTCTGTCTTGCTATTTACCCATAGCTCTGGGATAAGAAGAGGATTCATACCTTTCCCAAGGGTATTAGCACGAATGTATTGGATTTGATCTTCATGGTACCGGTGGTTATCTGATCATCATCAGATAAGGCAAAGTTCTTCGCAACGAATTGTGGCTTTAGCTCCCCATTAGATGACAAGGGTTATCCCCTTTCTTGACCTCCTACCCTCTCAAAGAGCACATTTCTATCGCAACCCGGAAAACTCCAGAGTTATCAAAAGTCTTGACCTTAAGGTTAGCGGTCCAGAAAAAAAACAATCCCGGTGGTTGTCCTTAAGAATATTAGCCCAGAGTTAACTCCGATTTGGGGAAAAATGTTTAACCGCTGCCTGAAGCAGAAATCCTTCACAAGTTTGTGGGTGGTTTCAAACGTATATCCTGTTTTCAAGAATATGGGTGAGCCCTCAACTGCGTCTCAATATCAACCCATCAGCATACTTAGTGTCATCAGCAAACCCATCGAATCTATCATCAAGACTCCGACGAGAAAAATTTCCTGGCGCGGCATAGGGCGCCAACTTTCGTTGCGGTGGACGAAGCTATTGACTCAATATATTTGTTCCATCTCAGGTCAGCAGTCAATGTGAAACCGAGTAGTTACAAAAAGGAGATCTCGAGAATTTGAGCGTCAGACATTCTAATGGGGGGCGGAGGCAGGGATGGTTCTCTGTGATGAGTAATAGAGAGCAGTTTTGTTTTTGAGGCGTTAAAGTTAACCAGCCAATTCCTGCCCCAGTTCACAAACAATTGGAGGTCCTTTTCGAGACGAACGACCAGGTCAGTTAGATTTTTTTTTGAGGCAGGGGTAAATTGTAGTGTCGTCCGCGTAGATGCCAACTTGGTAATCTATGGCGTCACGAAGATCGTTAAGGAAGATAAGGAACAGAGTAGGGCCTAGGATGGAGCCTTGGGGAACACCTGCGTTCGTGGGATAGGAGCTGGAGGAGAATCCGATGAGAACGACCTTCAATACACAGTTTGACAGAAATGATTGAATTAAGTCAAACAATGAACCTGAAATTCCATAACCCTTATGCTTACGAAGAAGGCCGGGATGCCAAACCCTATCAAACGCTTTGGAAATATCTAGAGCCACGGCACGAGCTTCTCCGTTATTATGAAGTGCTTGGTAAACAATTTCAGTTATGGCCGTAAGCACATCAGCTGTAGAACGGGCAAAGCGGAAACCATATTGCTTGTCGGAGAGAAGATCATGGGATGTAAGGTGCTTAACCACTTCAGCGTTGATTAAAGCTTCGAAGATTTTACCGAATGGGGGTACGAGATGGATAGGACGGTAATTAGAAAGGTTAGAAGGGTCAGAAGAGTTCTTAAAGACAGAAACAATGGATGAGGACTTCCAACAGACTGGAAAACAAGATTCATTGAGACAGTAGTTATATAATTTGAAGAGGGCAGGGGCCAGTTCAGGCGCACACTTCTTCAGGACAATGGTTGGTATCCCGTCTCCACCCCTAGCCTTGTGGGGCGTCTAATTTAGAGATAATGTCCAATATCGATGATGGATTTATGTGTAACTCGCTCAACAGAGCCTCAGTTGGTACACCGGAAGAGTCGAGCGTTGAATTGAATGAGAATTTTCGAGCAAATCATTCAGCCTTGTCGGCAGAAGAGGTCAGAACCTCGAACTGGTTGAACAAAGGAGTTATAGAGCGTTTGCTATTGTTAAGTACGCTCTTGCAGAGACGCCAATAATCCTTCGATCCGAATTTGCGAGATGCAATACGCTCTTTCATTTGAGCAGCAAATAGTGACTATGCTTCATTGAGGACACGCTTACACTCGTTATGACCAGAGACAAAGTGACGTCTATTGCAGTCTGACATGTCGCTACGATATAGGTGGAAGAAGTGGTTCCTATGGGTAATGGCAGCTGAGCAAGCAGCGGAGAACCAAATGGAGGAGCGCGATTTGACCTTATATTTCCTTGAGGGGATGAAAGCCTCGATTCCACTTTTAATCCAGGAGGAGACACCGGAAGCACATCCTTGAACGTGGAGCGTAAAGACAACATCCCAGGGGACATCGCGAAGAAAATCCCGGAACGAGTCCCAGTCTGCTCGTAGATAGCAAAACGAGGTTCTAGTGGTAGGAGGTTCTTTGCAGGGGGTGGAGTTGAAGGAGATGTTGATAGATACTACAGCATGATCAGAATTGCCAAGAGGGCAGAGCTGCGTGGCGCTACAGGACTCGGGTATGGAGGTAAAACATAGATCGAGACGATTTGCCTTACCCTCCCGTGTGTGGAAGTCGACTATCTGCGTGAGGGATTAAGAAATGGAAAAAAATCAGGATTTGAATGCCTGCAAGGTAACTAGTAGCGTTTTTAAGCCACTTGGTATGATGGGCGTTAAAATCAGCAAACACGAATATGTGAGCAAACGGATGGAGAAAGACTGATCCTTGTCAATGCTGTCAAAAATGCATTCAATTATATCACAGTCTTGGGAGGATGGTGAGCGATAAAGGAAGAAAATGTAGCTTACAGCATTGAGAAGAGATAGCCGGAGAAACATGTACAAATAGTCTGGAGATTCAAGAGACAACTCTCTAGCCAGCGGGAGATGTTCATTGACGTAAACTCCAAGGCCATGCATAAGGGTTTGAGAGTCTTTTCTAAGGAGGGGAAGGTGGCCGGGGATCGAGAGGTCAGAGGAGGGGATAGACGAATCAAGGTTGGTCTCACACACAGCCAGTATATCCGGGTAGTTCGCAATGAGGAAAGATCCCACACTGCAGAAATTGGTTCTAATGCCACACATATTGGAAAATCAAATGTTAAGAGGTTTAGGTGATTTTTTATGGGCTGGTTTAGGTTTTCTTTTTGGATCGTCGTTAGTTATCAAGTGAAATTGTAGTTGTAAAAATGAGAAAGCCTGAAGTAAACACACAATAAATGGTTTTTGAGAAGTTGTGGCATAGAGGTTGTTAGGGAAACGTTCCAGTTAAGAAATATCTGGAAGAGTTTTCTTAATTATCAAGTCTTTTGCAACAGGCAAGTTCATGAAGTTCGTTGTTAATGACCAGATATCTGAGACTCATTAAAACAATGCACATGACCCACTCCCCCCAAATTTCGCTTCTGGGTCCGACCCTCTTTCTGCATTATATTAATGATCTGCCTACGAGCAGACACCAATCTTTAATGAATATCTATGCAGATGATTCAACAGTACATCGGTGTACTTCCAAAAGTTTAGATGACCAGAACTTGGCAGCTGATTTCTCTTCTGATGCAGCTATAACAGAGAGGAACAGCTGATAACGTTCCATAGTGACATTGCTTCATCATCGCGCAGACTCTGAATATCCGTCTATCACGATGAACGGATCTTCTCTCAAGGTGTGATCTCTTACGTTGAACGCCTACTGGGACTTGAGCTCACCATCAGATTGGTATATGAAACTGATCCATCGCTAAAGATTCTGGAAATAATTGAAGGTTCCTGTATCTCGTCAGTAAATATCTGATTCTTTCTTTATAAGAGCCAGATACGGTTCAGAATAGAGTAGTGTTGCCATATCTGCGTTAGAGCTTCCCAGTTCTCATTAACCTGTCTTGATAGAATTAAAACGCCTCTTGTGAGCGATTAATTATTGTCCAACCTACAACCCTTTTATAGCAGAAGAAACATCGCAGGCCTATCGCTGTTCTATCGATCTTTCTATGGAAAAACTTCTGCTGTGCTACGTTCCACCAACTCTGCCCCTCAGAGCTAAGACGCGCCATGCAGCGTACACCGAGATAAACCACAGTCATTTCCTTCGTATTCCATTGGTAAGAAGTAAATTCCACTCAAACAACTTCTTCCCACGAACTACTATATTGTGGAACCCACTCCCAAGAGGAGGCTTTCTCGACTATTACAGTCTTAACCTCTTCAAGTCTACCTTTAACCTTTATTTTTCCATATATCCTCATAA